TCGCGTTTTTAACGATGCAAATGATATTATTTAAGTAAATATCGTATTTAAAAGTGAATTAACTTGAAAGTTCTTGTAGAAGCACGTGTCGTAATTGTTTTTAGTGTGGTTCTGAGAAGTGAAAGCTAGTGAAAACAGTTATTAAAATTTCATGCCCTGAGCAGAGCAAAATCGGCTGATCGTACTTTTTAATGTAAATATTACCAATGAGTGAATGAAATGGAAATATTTTGGTGGCAAAGTATAGAAATATGTATCCAGATCTTATTCATACAATTCAGGCCCATTTTTTAAGGTATATAATTAGTAACTTACTGTTTTGTAGGAAGATGTCTTTCGTACGCATACCATAATACATTTATTTAATGATTGTAGGGACAGCCATTGTTGCATGACGTGCCGTATCACCTTAAACAGAGTTCATTATCTCAAACTGCAGAGCAACATCAAAGCACAGAAATTGGATTCGTGTTGCCAAAATCGAACGGGTATTGTATCGTCGTAGAAATGGCATCCGAAATTATTCATTACGGAAATTCCTGTGCCAAGAAAAGAGAATGTTGAAAAATGCCACTGATAAAACTCAGTCTGAACAATCCAAAGAGATATCGTTAGTAAAATGTGACACATGCTCGATTCGGGATAGAGAACATAACGTGTTATACCATAATACAACTTCATCCGGAGACGTCATTTCATTTGAATAGAATTTGCCGGACGATCGTGTTGAATACGAAAATATTGTTGGGTTTTAAAAATGCATTTTATTGTTCATAGTTAAATGTAACAGCTATACATTAGTAGGTATTATGCTCATTTTAAGACCATTGTTTCAGTTTTCGTTCTTACCATAGGCCATTGCTCGAACTTTTCTTCGTACACGGACCTCATCTACACTACCCTGTTCCCACTTGTTAGACTGCCTAGTTCCATTTTTGCTTGAAATTCTTCAGGTCAATTGCAGTTCCACCCTTTTTCTTCAGTATGTGCGTCACAATTGACCAGTATTTCTCAATTGGCCTTAGTTACGGAGTATTGCCCTGATTCATCTCCTTGGGAACCACTGTGAAGCCATTTTCGCTGTATGTACCACTGTTTGATGGAATTTGAGTTGTGGCAGCTTTCCAAATCCGGCCAGAATAGGCAATCCACCTCATGCTGCTCCAGAAAAGGCATTACCCAAGTAACCATAAGCATTAATAATAAACTATATAGGTATCAATTTCAATTCAGGATGCGTAATACCCAAAACCACAGATCAGCAATGAATTGATTTACAAACAATTCGACCGCATGACAGTTGTCCTTTCCTTTGGTTTGCTTTTCCGTTGATCTTGTTTCCCGTGCTGAGCACCAACGCTACCGATGCCATGGAGACAGCTCCCACACCTGGATCCTACCTATCGACCCATCAACTTATGAACCGGGGACCAACGGCTTGACTTCCCTTCCGAAGGAAGACGTGATCAGAGATGTTATGCCTAAGAACATCCCGGCGGCGCCGACTGAGATTGAACCCAGGCCTTCTGGGGTGAGAGGTAATCACGCTTACCACTACACCACCGGCGCCACTTAACATGACAGTTGTCACAGAGTATTATATTATCAAATGCTGTCAAACGGTTATTCTGGCCGTATAATCACATATACTACAAGTTCTTAAGACTTGTTGCTTGCATGCTTTCTATAATGCCGAGTTGATGCCGTGATCTGTCATTTCATGTCGGGTGTTTTTTTTCTGTGTGTGTTTTTATGAAAACAAAACAGAGGACAAAATGGCGACTGCAGAAAATCTTCATCGCTGCAATGAGGAGAACACCAGGAAACAATCTACACTTCGTCCACGAGAGAGCCGTCCCGGAATAAAAAGAACTGAAATCCGTGGTGACTGGGCGGATAAAAGTATAAAGGCTGTGACATCTGACGTTATGTAAACATTATCGCTGGCATTTAGATTTTGGTTACGATATCTATCGTAGGGGTGTTGGAGTTTTTCGATGGATGAATTAAGCGAGATCAATACGGTTATTCTCAATCGTAGCTATTCTCAATATTATTAGATTCCGTCTTTGGAAGCCGCCTCAAGTGCTAGTGCCTATCACTATTATTTCGCGTGATTTCGAATATTAGAGTAGTAGGTTTTTCCCAACTTCATTCAGGTCGATTTCTCGACTTGCATTTATCATGCTCAGTTAGTTGGTTTGTAGTCAGTGGTCTCATATGGGTTAGTCAGCTAAGGCGTTATGTTAATCATTGAATCCGGATGGTCTGTTCGAGCCTTGATGATGATGATGATGGTCCCACCTCTTACCACTCCTACAAAGGTTTGAGTTGGACGATTTATCTTTAAGATAATTAAATATGACATTTTAACCAGGTTAGCAAACAAAATCGAACTGGTTACAGTTACAGATATAAATTTCCTCTAGAGTTTACAGTTGCTTCATAGCGATATAACTGCGGAAAAACTGAGGCGTCCACCTCTTAGTTCGCCTTTTTGTCCACCTAAAATATTCATAAGTATTACAAGAGATCAAGAGTTAATGAACAATCAACAAAACATCCTATTACACTAGCAACCCCGCAATCTGATGCTATCATAATTTTTAGCAATGTCAGGAATTCTCACGAACCCCCCAACGCAGAGATATTTAATCTCCCGAACGCGGTCAATAGTCTCATCATCAATTACAACAGATACGTTCTCATTTACTCGATTCCGCGAAATTACCATAAATTTAGTTTTACTTGCATTCAATTTCAACTGCTTATACTTCAACCATCTACTTAGAGAACGCAAATCTTCATTCAAGTGTAAAACGGCATCATCTAAATCCTTAGCTGCAATGAATAACACAGTATCAAAAAGATTAATGTCGCAAAATCGTAAAACACGTCGAAAGTCATTAATATACATAATAAATAACAGGAGCCCTAATACACTTCCCTGGGGAACTCCAAGGTTATTCCCCTTGAGTTTTATAACAAAAAAAAAATATAAACCAAGCAAACAACATGCGTACGAGTAAAAGACAGCAACCAATAGTTTTTATTTTCATTTGCTTTATTCTATGTCGATAAAGGAAAACATGCAATTATTTCTGCTCCGTTTGAAATTTCTCCTCCAGCATAATATCAGCATAAGCTTTTTAAAGTCTTAACATAAGCATCTTATTGGTCGATTATTTCGCCTTTTTCGGATTTATAACCGCATACAGTGCAGCGTACTAGAGATGAACTAGCCTATGGCTAAAAATCTCTTAAATAAAGATAAAAAAGTGCAGCTTACAACCAACAATCAATACGAAACTATCAATTTGAAATTGGCTCACTACTTGACTAGCCTATCGGTCCCAAGCAAATCGATTAACGGACCCTATTCTAGTCAAAATTCTAGTACTACACAATGTTTGTTTTGATTCGCTATGAAAGTTTGACACATAAAATGAGGGGTTAGTGGAATTGCCTATGTTTCGAGGGGTGAATCGATTAGCTTGGGACCGAAGATAGTACCAGAGCTGAGCCAAAAAATAGAGCTCGTTTCTTCGGGATCTACTAGTCTTAGAGTTACCTCTATGGTACAACTGCTTGCTGGTTACTTGAGTAGTATGTTCCTTAGAAACTCATTCTGGTAAATTTGCTGGTTTATGGTTAAAAAAGTAACGAAAGTTTCGTTTTAAAGTCCACAACTGCAGATTGCTTGCGTGACAAAGTTCTAAAAAATTCTTAGAAGTCTCTCAGACCTGCTGTCTGGCATGCTTATTCTTATATAATACGGCATATTTCGGTCAATCGCACAGGAAAATACAAATCAGTCAATCATACGCAAGATAATTTATTGAATAGTGAAATCGGTATACTTTGCTAACGGATGCCATAAAAACACAAATCAAGCGTTCTTTAGCGTTTCAAGTCCGTGAAATTTTAGAAAAAATGAGAAAGAATGAGTCGAATGAAAATTAAACACATATCTACTTCGTCCGACAAATCAAACGTCAAATCTAATCATCGTGTCGAAAAAGTGTGAACGCATCCGAACATTGCATCTGACGAAATTATCGAGCAGTCCGCTCGAATCAGTCCAACAAATCAGATAATACCTTTAGCGGGGATTAAACCACCGACGAACCGACGTGACAGCTCTTAGAAGCTACTTACAAAATCTTACTCAAGACGCCATATTTAAAAAAACGTTAAAAACTACCGCCATCTACTCATCCTATCGCGACATATCATGAGCAAGGACACGAACAGACGTATAATTTATATTGGACAGATTAAATCACTTATTTGACAAATCGAATTGCGGACAAACGAAACGAAAAAAAAAATGTCGATTCGTCGGTGAATAAAATAAAAAGTGTTCAGATTAAAAACTGTCAAATTACCGGGTTGCATTCCGGTATACGGTATTACATTCCCTCCCTCTCCCTAATTGAGCTGCATTCGGACGTCGCTGGCACCGTGCACAATGAGATCACCAGCATTTCCAAATTAAGAATGTACGCTAGTCCCAACTGCCATCTGCCGTTTTTTCAAGGTCTTCAGCTCAAGGTTGACTATGCACACTGTTACATCCAAATGCATATCAATACATAAAAACCGATTCATTCGTGTTTAGCAAGAAGCATTTAACGGTACATTACCGGCAGGTGTAATTCTCTCAAAAATAATTAAATACAAACTCCAACTAATCGCATATCCTTTTATGTCTAGTCACTGAGTCTATCACCTAGAACCAATAATTCGTTACCTTCACCTAGTTACGCTTGGCTTGCATACTAACAATCCCAATTTCACCTCAAGGCTCCAGGTTATAGAGCCAACGTTGATAAGAACACCGGTTTTATCGCTTGATAAAGTTGTTCACTCCCATATTCGCATTTTTACATACACGTACATACCTACCAGGTTCGCCGACAAGCCAGACTGATAAGTCGAAACATAGAAGAATGTGCTTTACTCACACACGTTACCATTTGTTTGTTTCTTATTTGCAGTTACGGATTCGGAACTGCGAAGAATCAAGGATGCCTTCAAACGATCGGCCGGAACGAGCGGTACGGTTCTCAGTAAGAGTGCCTTCGTGCAGGATGTCCTCGGCGATGGCGTTCCGACGGTGGTGGCCGATTGGCTCTATGCGGCCTGTGGCGGTACGGCGAAAGGAATCACTTTTAAGGAACTCCTCTGCGGGTTGGTGCTACTCACGAAGGGAACCCAGGAGGAGAAGATAAGGTGAGATTTTGTTTGTATACACGTACCTAGATAACTATATTGGGGAAGTCGGCGCATTCTGGTTTGTGTTTGCAAATACGACAATGAGAAGGTGTATGTGTTAGGATGGTACACATTATTCATTTTGACCCACAATTAAATTCAAAATAGTTCCTGATTATCGTCATGAAACCAAACTAGCTCAACTTGAAAATTGGAATCAGCACCATCTATTGAATAATTTGAACTGCCCTATTATTAATGTTACTTTTCACACCTTTACAATAGTCCGATTGGCTCATAAAGACGCAAAATACTGGTGAGCTTTTGAAAAGAGTGATAAAAAGTATTCAAATACTTATCACTATAATCATGTCACGTCTTCTTTCCGTAGGTGGAATGATGAGTATTTATTTTTGGTGGCTAAAAATGACAGTTATTACGGTACGGTAATAAGAGAAAGTTTGTGTTGTTAAAAATGACTACATGTAGGTTATCCTGGAGATCCGAAATAGTAACAAAAGTTTGGTTGTTTAACTGTGTGTTTTTCAAAAATACTTCTGTTTCGGCCAGGATGCGGCCCTAGGTTGAGTTTTTTTGATGTTTTCAAGGCGATGGAGGTTGTCGTTTCAGAGCATACAATAAACTACAAACTTCACTTGGCGGCACTATAATATTACTTTTTATTGCCTTATTACCTGCCTACTCGGAGGTAGTACGTTTACTTAAATCTATACATTAAATTTCTTCCTTAAAAACTAACACAGTACAATTAATTTCAATTATAAAACAACCATTACAAAATGTAAACAATAAAATTGAATAACATACATAAACAATATCACGGTAATGGGGAGTGAAACGGTAGTTATTTTTCTTACAGTATGGCGGGCTTTGCTACCATCTGGCCGAGGGCATTTGTTGCTGTTTGCTTTGCATATTCAAATGCAGTAGAGCCCTTCAATTATAAAAAAATATCAAAATGGTATTTTCATCAAGAATTTGATGACCATGATCTGCAAAACCTCATGAAATAATAAACCTGCATACATTTGAAGAGTTTTTTTTTCAAATAACGAGCCTAAAAGTTGTGTCAGTCTGATCAAAAAGACACATCTCAATAGAAGACACATAAGCACGACAAACGTTATAGTAAAACCACAGACAAACAGACATAACACATTGAATATTTATCACTGTAAAACATCGTCATTAAAACATTACCGCTATCTGTTGAACACACTGTGGTGGGTAGTACGCTGAACAGATGGCGGTAGTGTGTAAACGTCAAACGCAAGGCAATTGACTATGCGCGCCACATGTGGCGGTACTACCAACTACGATACTTTTAAATTGACGGTTAAATGCTTGATCGATGAACAACTTGCGAGTGTTATGTCTGTTTGTCTGTGGTAAAACTTTCCAGATCATCTTGGAGATACAATCTTGAAGTTCTACAGGTCCAACAAAGTATTATACGATGTCTCAAAATAGTATACAATGTCCTAATCGAATTTTTGAGGATATGATGTACGATGTAGGATACATAGTTATGTTGACAAAATATCTCTAAATTTACATATCATCCTGAATTTAAGCTCTTCAAGTTCTACACGCTCAATAGTGTCTTGTATGATGTACCAACAGATTTTTTCAATCCAATCCACATCATAGAGCCCCATAACATCATGTGAGCCATATAACGGTGTTAGTAAAATATGTTCCATTCTCCAAATGATCCTGGTGTTCAGATCTTGAAATTCTACAGATTGAACGTGGTATTGTATGATGTCTCAATCAAATGTATAAACCCAGCCAGCTTCGTGGAGTCCCATATTATCATGCGCGATATGTATTTTTAATGACAACATATATCGAGGTCTCCAAGTTGTCCTGGGGATGAGGTCTTGATGTTCTAAAGGCTCAAGAAAGCCTTGTATGAGGTCCCCATTTATTATATAAATCCATAAAGCTCCGTGGAACCTCTTCATATCAAGTGAGATAAGAAGTTGTACAAACAAAATATTATCCATTCTCCAAATTATCCTGGTGTTAAGATCTTGAAATTCTACAGATTGAACATGGTATTGGGTGATGTCTCAATTAAATGTATAAACCCAGAAAGCTTCGTGGAGTACCATATATCATCATGCGTGATATGTATTTTTGATGACAAAATATGTTGGGGTCTCCAAGTTATCCTAGGGATTGGGTCTTGATGTTCAACAGGCTCAACAGAGTTTCGCATGATGTCCGGATTGATCATTCAAAGCCATGAAGCTCTGTGGGACCTCATCAAATCTATTAGGATAAGAAATTGTATTAACAAAATATGTTCCATTCTCCAAATTGTCCTGGAGTTTAGATCTTGATGTTCTACATATCCACCAAGGTTTGATACGATGTCTCGTCTAAATTTTTGAATCCATAAAGCTTCGTGGATTATTAGGTGCTCCACGCAGCTTTATGCAGGATATGCAGTTGTAATGTTGTAACCTCCAAGTTATACAGAGGCTTGGATCTTTATATTCTACAGACTCAAAATATCTTGTATGATGTCCAGATTTATTATACAAATCCATGAAGCTCCGTGGGACTTCATCACATCAATTGATATAAGAAGTTGACCAAACAAAACATGTTCCATTCTGGATTCCAGATCTCGATGTTTTACAAATTCAACAAGGTATTGTACGATTCTTCGACTAAATATGTGAACCCAAAAAAAACATGGAGGCCCTTAATATCATCCGGGATACTTGTTTATTTGTTCATCATCTTCGATAGTATCGTACAGACTGGTTAAACTTATGCTACGTTGTGTATGCTTAGTAGTTGTAATGGCAAATTTTTGTTTGGGGTCTCCATGTTATCAAAAGACTTGTATAATCTTCAAATTTATTACACAAATCCATGCTCTGTGGAACCTCATCAAATCACAAAACTGGTTCCATTCTCCAAATTGTCCTGGGGTTCAGATCTTGACGTTTTATAGATTGAACGATTATTGTACAATGCCGCGACTAAATTTGTGGACCCCAAATTTTTCGTTGAGTCCTATATTACCATCCGGGATATATAGTTGTAATGTAAAATATTTTAGAATCTGTAACTTATGCAGAGGTTTGGATACTGATGTTCTACCGGCTCAACAAAGTATTGTATGATATCCAGATTTTTATACGAACCGATAAAACTCTTTGGAACCTCATCGCATCATGTGAGATATGACGTTGTATTAAAAAATATCTTCCATTCTTCAATTCATCTTGGAGCTCAAATCTTGTCTACAGAAGAGTTCAAATGTTCTACAGATTCAACTATAATATCTCGACTTATCGTAGAGCTGTAGCAATAATATCAATATATAAACATTAAATGATGTCGCGAAAATCGCGAAGGGACTGATGTGCTGTCACAAAAATTGTGGAATTCATTGTAACCTTTCCGTCCCGGTTTGTAATTCCCTGAGGTCTGTCCATGTGAGACATTTTCCTTTTTTTCCAATATGAACATAGCAATTTTCGTTGTCAAATCATAAACGAATCGTATAAATGCAAGTGATTGCCTGTCTGTAGTATCGAAATATGTCCAAACAGATTCAAAATGTCTATGTGGATTGTAGCTGACCTATTGCTACGTATACAAGATGTTATAGGTTCTGAAATCATTCTAGAGATCAGATCATTTTTCTACTAGATCACCCAAGACTAATCCAATATCTGTAGTATCGAAATATGCCCAAACAAATTTGCAGTGTCTATGTGGATCATGCCAACCTACTTCCGTGTATGCCAAATGTTGTAGGATTTCCAAATCGATATTTCGATACTACAGATATTATCCTAGTCTTTGTTGATCTAGTAAAACAAATCATCTGAACTGCAGGACGATTTGGAGAACCTAGTTCATCTGGTATACGTGGAAATAATTAAACATTATCCATATAGACACTATGAATCTGTTTGGACATATTTCGATACTACAGACTTTATCCCAGTCATGGTTGATCTAGTAGAATAAATCATCTGAACTCCAGAACGATTTGGAGAACCTAACACATCTGGTATACATGACAATAGTTCATGCATGATCCACATAGACACTGTGCATCTGTCTGGAAATATTTCGATACTAAAGACATTGTCCCAATCTCGGTTGATCTAATAGATCAAATTATCTGAACTCCAGGACGATTTGAAGAACCTACAACATCTGGATTACTCGGAAATAGATCATGCATGATCCACATAGACACTTTGAATCTGATTGTACATTTACGATACTACAGACATTATTGCAGTCTTGGTTGATCTAGTAGAACAAATCAACTGATGTCCTGGACGATTTGGAAAACCTATAATTTCCGGTATAGGTACATAGTAATGAGTCGTACATGATCCACAAAGTCACATATATACGATTCGAATATGATTTGACACCGAAAAGTGCTAGGTTCGTATTAGAAATAAAAAAAAATATGAAAATGTCTCACCATTGGACAGAACCCAAGGAATATCCGTGTAAATACACAACCGCGACGTGACCAACAAGTGTGACTTATGAATCTCTGGTAATTTCTCGATTATGTGCAGGGTGTTTGGTTTAAATCGAAAAAAAATGAGAAAACTAGAGCCAAATTAACTACAACATTTAGGACAGCAAAATACGCCAGAGACGCAAAGGTTAATTTTCAAGAAAATGTGCATTTCAAATGAAAATGCATTAATTAAAAAAAAAATAATGTTTCATCAAATCTAGGCCGATATTATTCAATAGAATCTCAAAATGTAAGGGTGTTTTATTATTTTCACTAATTACTCAGAATTTAAACTATACCTAAATAACTGAAGATGATACAATGCTAATAAAAAAAATAAAAAGTTACAAAAGGCGAAGCTACAAAGCAAGTCCATGCTGGAGGCGACTTAGTTCGATTCCCGTCCCCTATTAATTTTTCGGGTTGGAAAATTTCTCTACTTTCTTGGGCATAGGATGGTATAGGCATAGAAAGCTCTCAA